TATAAGGTAATTGTTTAATCACATTTCTATCACAGCAGCCTCACATTTCCACACACCTCGTTGAAACCATGAATGCCAGCGAAATTTCAGGCAAAATGGCTACAGAATGCCGACGCCCGCCTTCGGATAAATCCGGCAATCTAGCTGATCGGTGCAAAAAGATTCAGATGGGCGGGTCTACTTCCGAAGCGTAATGGGAATATCCTAGATTGCGTGGAGACTGTCACTGAGGTCGGTTGACCGAGGACTTTGTTTTGCATATTGTACCGGTTAGGCGGTCATTTTCATGAGAGACCGTTTACAACTTCACTCTTTAGGAGGCGCATGGGTTACTAAAATTTCGTAAAATAATTTCTACCAGGCGCTCGCTATCACATGTATTAGAAGGCGCGGACTGATCCAAACGCCCATGAAATAACGCAGCGCTAAGAAGGTGCGCAACACCTAAGCGTCTGACATGGTTATCACAACAGAACTCAATGTTGTTAAGAGATAACCAAATATCATCAGAGAACTGTCAGGTTAGCCTGGCACTATTAGACGTACTAAGGGGAAAACAATATCCCCATGTATGGATGAGGACCGAAATGGTAACCAGTTGGTTCGGGATTTTGGGTATCAGCATTGCTGACCGATTCGCGCCATCTTAGGTCAGACTCACATAAATCCACCAGATCTAGGAGAGACAAACCCCGTCTACCATATTCAATAGGTCAGCTTTGAAATAGGCTTGTGCAGATTTGTGGTATCAAACATGAACTAAGAGAACGTAGTGAATTTGGTGCCTATTTGATCTTGAAGCGACAAAAAACTAGTAATGCGATATGCTTAATCTGCATTCTATTCATCCCAGAACACTTCAGATAAACATACAACAGAATTGATTGGGAGAATCTTCAGAATTCTGGAAGCAATGTACTGGGGTTCTGCTAACTGGACGGTTGATGGCAAGGTCCGTTTGTCGTTACCGGCCGCCAATCGGACGTCTATATTAATTCAAGACGATGGTGGGTCGAAAACAGCAAATAAGACTCAGCTCTAGAGGCCGCGTAATGCACTCAAAGAGCTGCAAATTAGGTTAGTCAGTGAGGCCAACTTAACGGAGGTAAATGGAAGTCGGTGGAATACAAGCGACCTGTAAATGAGAAAGTAGTGTGACGGCGGACAGCGGTAAAATGGAATGCACTGTCTTACAAAATGGCAGGAAAAAATGTCCTGTGTGTTCGGTGGCAACACACATACGAAGTAACATCAGTTACTTAAACTCCGTCCCCCAAACTGTGTCTACCCATATTTGGTATTTGTTAACTCCGATAATATTATCCTTTCAAGTCCATTTTATTCCCTCTCATTTGCGCATATGCCTGTACTGCCTTGATTGCGCTGCCAGTGTCTCATTAACGATGACACTCAAAATATTGGTCTAAATATCATTTCGTCCCTTTGTAACTACCGTGTGTAAAGTGTGGATCGCAAATGAACACCGAGGATTATCTGCCAGAATGAATTGTTCAAATTAGTTCAGGCTGCGTCGTTTTGCTTCCCTTAAACCGCCAATTACATCCGCACGCTTATATGTGGCAAAAACGCTATTAACTGAAGTCTCATTAAAAGTGGAAGCACATTAGTGCTGTGAACTTGCAACGGACTTTCACTGAAATGAGACTTCCGGTTTTGGTGCTTCTACTTTTGGGCATGGTGAACATGTCGCTCGGTCAGAATCGCCGTAAGTTCTAGCTTGGTTTTGTCTGCCGTGGACCAGGTAAGAAGAATTACTTTTTGTTTGATAACACATAACACCCGTATCGGACTTACTAACTTAGCACTTTGACTGTGGACGTTTCAACATTTCACTTGTCGAGTATGGCGTATGTTCGCAGTCTACGGGTCCATATAACTTTCTTCTGATTCAGTTACGCGACTCGACACCCTGATTGGGGAGTACGTTCCTGTCTGTAAGTGGACAATTATGTTGCGTGTTTGTCTGAATTGTTCTTGGATGAATCCGGTTTATTTATCATAGCGCGTTAAAGGATTTTTCGTCACTTCAAGATCAAATAGGCACCACATTCACTGCGTTCGCATGGTTCATGTCCTAAATTCCAATGAACTAGCGTCAACATTTTCATTATTCTGCAGTGGGGGTGAATGCATCTGCCACAGTTAGTATTCTCATGGTAACTAGTAATCTTTGGCCACGCAAAAAGTAAGAGGTGATCAGTTGTTGGCTGTTAGCTCAAACACCGATCAGAGTAAATGAATATTAGACAAACGTCATGCCTCCACCGGGTTGATTAAATGCAAGTTAAGGCCCTAAGCAGCGAAGACGCCATATACGTCGAGTTAACTTACATGTGACTTAAATTGCAATGTCGAATCCGTTTGCATTCATTTTGAGAGACGAGTGTATCCTATGACATGTGTATATAACTACATTTCTACTTGTATCGTTCTCCACAAGCATTTTCCACGCACATTGAAGAAGCATCTGTCAATCCACCAGGAGATGATACCCATGTATACGGAACATCAAATCGCGAATAATTGGGTTGCCCACCACAAAATCCGCGAAACCCACCTGCAAACCCGAGAAACTTTGACGCCTCGATAGTTCCGGAGGAAACAACCGTTCGCGGCAAATCATTCCCCTTCTTGTCACTGTTGCAACGTCATTCGAAGATACATTTCAACGGACGTGATTTTTCGTGCCACATATGCAAGACATCATACAAGTACTTCCACAATCTCCGTCGTCACCAGAGAATGACTCATTCAGCGCAAACTGAAGTAACTGCTGGAAAATCAACGGGAGAGCTTCGCGAATTCATACATATCGGCTATTTGTGTCCGGAATGTGATAAAACGTTCAAAGTAAGTAACACTCTACGCCGTCATGCAGTAACCATACATGAGAACTACGCGCAGCACACGGGCGAGTTATGTCGCCATATATTTGCTCAGAAGGGGAATTATTTCAGGCATCTGAGAAGGGTGCATGGAAGGGATAGCTTCCACAAATGTGAACATTGCAGAAAAACATTCATCACCTTAACTGAACTAGAAGCGCATTTGGCGGAAAGACATAATGCGGATCTTGAATAACTTGTTTCAATATATGAGATCGTCTAATATAATTTGTTTTTATGTGAACTTAAGGTTGTGATTATCCTGGCAGTTGTGTTTAGGTTTAAACCGAACTTTTATTCATCAGCATCATCCGTTCTCGGAGTAGTTTTGGGATGGATCCCGTGGCTGGCTTTCACTTGTGCGTCATGCGTAGAATAGAATACTAGTGTTACCTAGGGCAGCTTAGTGTGCCATCCATGAATTGATTAAATTTTCTTCTCAGTTTGACAAGCCTGAACAAATCGTCATTGGTGAACATAAGCGTTCAAATGTGGTAAACGCATTCGGCTACACTGTAAGGAGATAATGGACGGTGAACATTGGCCTAGGAAGCCTGACACCTTCTTCTAGCGCAACAAACATTGACTGGCTGTTCTGGCGTGTGAAACGCTCACAGAAAGCAGACTGTGATCTTGCAAGTATTCTGTCGAACGGTTCGTCGAACGACTAGTACGGAATTCACGACGCCAGCTTGTGAACGGTTAAACGGAACAGGCCTGCATTGGGGCGTGATGATTTGTACTGAAAGGCGAACAATTAATGTGACAGCATGTGGAACCCGGTTGCAAATTAGTGATTTGATGGGTGGGTAAGTCACGCGCGTATTTTCTCGTAAGGTCAAACGATCTGTGTTCTAGATAAGGAAATCGGTGGAGTGTCCTCATATTTGCACTGGCAGGGGCAAAAATGCAAAAAATGCCAACGACAGGACACAAATCTCGACTCATCCAATAAACAAAATGGTAGGGATAAGTGAATATATTGCCTCAGGTGTTTACAAGTTACTAATATTCAAGATATTTTGTCGGATCAAGCTTTGTCGCTTCGACGCGCCGTCAACTGCAGCGACATCCAAACGAGCAATCCTCTTATTCACGAACAATGTGTCTGGAGTTGGAATTCTATAGCCCACTCCGTCAAACTGGTTCGTTGGCTGATCTCGCCGGCTGTGATCTGCACATTTGTAAGGACTGAAAATTCCCTAAAACAAGTGCTTCGACATTTGTCGTAAGAATCAAACCATCTAAAGTGAGCAGTTTCCCCAATAGCTTCGGAGAAGATTCTGGAACGATTCCCAAAATTGTGTGCGTGATAATTTGTGTGAATGTAAAACACACTGCACGCTACAAAATGGAATATACTTCACGATACATTGGCGAGTAGAAGATGGGAGCCGAGATAACAAACACCTAGACGGACGTACTCCAGTAATTTGGTGGAGCAGTATTTTTCAGTAAACGGAAATTTGTTTTTGTATTTTCGACCATCATTTAGGCAGTGGAATACCATTATTGATGGTCATACAACTTCAGTCGTGTTTAACAGTTCGAGGCAAGACATTTGTAGTATCGAAAAGGCACGACCAGGGCGACGAAAATCCAGCGGACTCTTTATACTACTACAAATCTTCTAATTTATTTGAAAAAATGCATGGAAATTGGGTAGTAAGAACGCTGGCGAATAGGCAAGCCAAATGGCTTTGGAGTGCTTTAGATGCCAGCACTATATCGGAATCAGATACGTTGTGAATTGTCAGAAGTAAATAAAACTTCACAAGTAAACTCATTTGCACATCCAGTAGGCCTTCATGGGAAAATCAAGTGTATCTCTAATTTATGAGGTTATTCACCTGGATGTGTCTTCAAAGGCCACCTGATGAACAAAACTGGATTGGTGCTCATTTTTGCCAGGTATTCTTCGAAGCAAGTTAAGAAGCATCAGGCAGCGAAACACACCAAGTACAAGAAAACGAGATGAATACGCCACCGAAGTCGGCATGGCTTTTCCTGATCCACCAAGTCAATCGCCGTATGCAGCAACGCGATCGACGAGGGGAGTACAGTTGCCCGAGGTAAAAACGCCTGACGTATTGACGAACATGCGCATACGGTGGGCAAGAAGGTAGTTGTCTTCTACCCGTTCCAGCAGGCAGATGCGACCTATGTTGGGCTCATATTTAACCGAGGCAACAATTGCCAGAACTTCCCGAATGTGGCCAACATTTTCATCTTCGTCTCCATCATGATGCCTTTCCCTCAATTCCTACTACATGGAATTTCGCCGCTGAATAATAATAACAGTAATAATAATGATAATAATAATAATAACAGTTTTCAACATGCAGTTAATGTACCGTCAGGCATCACCACAGTATTACAGTCAGAATAAGAGCATGACTGATGGGGATTGTGAATAATAAGAAAGGGAACGGTGACTTAAATTGTGGGCAATAATGAAGCAGACTCATCACACCTGAGGTGGCATGGGTGTGGATCCAAAGTTACAAGGGCTCTTTATTTCCTACGGAGAAAATATCAAGTGACACAAAATCTGATCTTTGGTATTTGAAAGTGGCTTGGAACGTGACGAAAAAATTCAAACTGCAGGAAGTGTGGAGCGAGGATAGTGGATCCGGAGAGGCATCAGAACTGCAACGACATGGCCGGCCAATTTGAACTAAAGCCCAAAACCGTCGATGGGGCTTCATGGCCCTGAGCTGTTGAGCGTATGGCCACGGAAAGCGTAAGTGGGGATGGTGAAGCGAGGTACTATGCAGTACGGACAACTGATAGCAGAAATTCAGAATCACAGTGTGCATTGAAACTTTGGCGACCCACAAGTGTTGCTGAGACAGCAGGGTCGGAGGCCGCCTTCCCTATGCTTGGAAGGGGGCGATTTTCATGCCAATCTACAAAATTGGTGCCGAATATCGTATGGCAGCTACAGGCCTATAAGCCCCACTTGCGTGCCGTGCAAGGTGATGAGACGCATTCTGGAACGAGCTATTCTAGATGACCTTACTTCTACCATCTTGATATCTCCAGCTCAACGCCGATTTCTCACAAACAGTTGTTGCATGGCTAAGATGCTCGTATTCATGGACAGCTTAACCCAAGCCATGGACAAAGGACTCATATCGGATGCCATTTTATTCGAAAGCATTTGATAAGGCCCTACACGTCCCGCTGCTCAACAAACTGGGATCTTACTGGATTCAAGGAAAAATCCTTCACTGGATCAAGGAGTTCCCACCAGACAGATCATTCCGAGTGCGAATAAGCTCGACCTACTCTTCTCCAGCGCCGGTCTCCATTGGAGTTCCGCGAGGCTCCGTCTTAGGTCCACCGTTGCTTCTGATCTACGTCAACAAATTTCCAGATGTTCTTGCAAGTGCATGTCTACTTTTTGCGGGCGACTCGAAATCCTGGAGTTCTAATGTCGGTGCCCTCCAAGTGGACGTACACGGTGCAAAGCAGGAATCGTTGGACTGGCACCTTCCTCTGAATGACGAAAGGTACGTCGATATGTCATCTGGAGGAGACGCAGCGAATGCCTTTGTTATGCATGGTGAGAAAGGACAGAAAACTTCATGAGGTTACACGCCAAAAATGATCTGGATATCTGGGTCTCCTCAAACATGTCCTTCTCACTGCACGATGAGAAATCGTCCCGAAAGGCATTCGGCATTTTACGGATTTTCAAGCTCAATGTGTACATATTCGTGAGGCAAAATTTTTTTCTCATTTCGGGTAATAGTTGAGTGGAATGACGTTCCTGCGACGGCTGTCGACGCTCCTTCTGAAACCTAGTTCAAACTACTACCAAACATTTAGTTATGCAAATACTCGCGCCGGCTAGCATACTGCCTTACACTGAGAACTCACAGAGCAGTGCTACACCCTTTTTACACTTGTTCCTTTCTGATGAAAGACGGCAAAGACTCGATCCTGTGTTTTAATCCGTGAATCCGTGAATCCCTGTAAAAGTTACTTGGGAGAACGAGTTCGCGCAAACTGTAGGAAAATTGACTGACTTGGTGAGGAGTACGAAAACAGGTCGTCGAGATAGTTAAATGCAACAGAAGTTTCGGCACATTGCAATGAACGCCTCCCGGTAGCGGCTGGTGACAAATGAAGACTGATTGTGGTTGCCAGTTGGGGAACCAGTGTGCGAGAGGGCGAGGTCAAATTATGAAGTGAAAATTTGCGGGTATGCTATCGATCTGGGTATCACACTGCCGTACTGTCGTTGAACTGAAATACTTCGGTGTCTGGACCGCATCATGACGGACGTCGTGATTGGGGTAGTTAGGCTGAGGCTGAGATGCGCACTCTAGTGAACAGCGAGGGGACAACGGCCAAACAGGTCGTCCATGGCGCGTATTACCGCGGGTCGAAGCGCGAGAAGAAGATGAAATGAGATGAGATCAATAAACTCTGGAGAGTTGTAGTGGTCATGAGACAGCAAAAAAGCCCTTTATTAGAGGAAAAATGAGCATTAGAGGGTTATGGGGTTGACATCAGGTGGTTAAAAAAGACAGTTAAAAGATGGATTTGCACTCAGTAGTGTAATCATCAAAGTCAGGCTAAGGTTGTCAATATCTCTATACTACTTTAGATGAGAAACTTCACTGTATGTAGGCTAACAGGCGGCGTGGTAAGGGTAACCAAACACATACTGACTTGCAGGGCTGTAAATTCTGAGATGTTGGTCTAGATTTCGTTCAGGTTATTAGTGAGTTGGATGATCCTAGTACAACCTAGGAGGAAAGGTGCATGTAAGGGAGATGGTAACCGGTCCCCGAAGCACTTCTATCAGCTTCAATCGGTGAGTGTTACGTGGCGAAGATGAGGGTCGATGCTGGCCTCGCGTGCTGATGGTGGAGATTCCGGAGTTTCACTGTATGTTTGTATGTGACGTATCTGTCCACTCTGGGAGGAGCAAGTTGGTGTGAATTTTGTTTGGTTGACGAAGTGGGTTTTGGTGCGGTGAGGCCTCGATATTGACGAATGAAGCTACAGCTATGCACGTCGTCCTAGGCCATGGGCATCGCAGAGTTTCTACGGCTATCCCAGGTAGATGGGTAAATCGTCGTTGAAATAGGTTTGAACCCGCGGAAGGAGGTACTGTATCAGGCACAGTATAGGGTATGGAATGAATTTGGGAGGTAAACGTGCAGTTGAGTGGAGAGTTGTCGGCCGTCTCATTTTCTGAATCGGCAGGTGTGGAGGAGGATAGGATGCCAAAAGGGTTGGTGGCTGTGAAGGGATGGGTGGCTGCCAAAAATGGTGTTCAGGTGGGAGGGAAGTTTGAGTTTGAGTTCGTATTCGTATTTCGAAAAACTACACTGTGTAGAATTCCTGTAATAGCAGCCGCGTGTGATGTAGATCGCTGCAGTGACGGATTTTCTCAAATGAACATTTCTGGATAGTTGATCACCTTTCACCGAACGTAAATAGGTGGTGTCGCACAGCGTCAAACGCAAATTGCCAAATGCGTCGCCACCTAGTTTGCAAACAAGGTAATCTTTGGATGTCTATGACGTTCAGCGGTTCCATATCGAGGAGGCAGACGTTTCTTAAGCACGGGATCCGTTGGCTTACTCAAATAATTTGTCTTGTGTCCCCGTCACCACCTATCTGATCAACGTGACATGGAACATCAATTTACACCTTGTTCACAAACAATTTTCTAATTTTAGTATTGACCTACATGATAGATTGAAGCTTAACAACGCGAAGGATCCCAGGCAAGAAAAATGATGGATTGCGTACAGCTGAAAAAAGTCTATTGAACAGACCGTCAGCTAAAGGATATTAATTATTCAGTGAACATAAAAAGCACATTTGTGTTTCCAATGGTAAATGTGACAAATTGAGAGGATTTTTCTTTCTACAAAACGTGAACATAAACATTTGTGTTTCCAATGGTAAATGTGACAAATTGAGAGGATTTTTCTTTCTACAAAACACAAAAAGCCGGGTGAAATTAAATTAATTACATAATGACTCAGAAAATGTCACAACCGGCCCATCGCTCCAGAATTAATAGCCAAATGAAACATTCAATAAGAGAGTAGAAAATGCGCTGTTTCCGAAATACTTTGAGTCAGTGCACATAAAAATCACATTTATGTTTCCAATGGTAAATGTGACAAATTGAGAGGATTTTTCTTTCTACAAAACACAAAAGTC